TATAATTATACATTTACTTACATGTTGGCTATAAAAGTTAATGTGTCACATGTGACAGGCTTACATGTGGTAAATTACTTTAATACGTGATCATTGTAATATTCACATATTCCTTACCTTAATGTGTCACTTCAGCTGCCAGCATGACCTCAGCTGCAATCTCAATATTTGGCCAGTTTTGACGAAATGACCGATCGTGTTCAGTGTATAAGCTGGGCCTCGTCTCTAATATAACTTGGCGCAAGTTGACGACGCGCATAGAGAGCCGGGAACCAGCTTATGTCGGGTTAACCTGGTTCCCGGCTCCCTATGCGCGTCGTCAACTTGCGCCAAACAATAATGTGATATTAGAGACGGGGCCCAGCTTAGTGTTAACCCGGAACAAGCCATTTTACCCATATTCCCCTACGGTCCAGGGCGCCATTTTAGAACATGGATGTAAACAAACCTCGTGTATCGATATACACTGTGATTCTTGATTACGATAAGCTTACCTCGTGTATCGATACATTGTTCTCATTCACCTCCACCACGGAAATGCCGGCCGAAGTTCCTCTCAGCCATCCACAACGCGAAAGTCAACAGTATTTGGAAAGGCGATTGGCATTGCCAGGTACGTAGCAGGGCTTCGAGGCCTTATGATTTCTGTGCAGAGATCTTATGGAACGGATTGATGTAGATATTTTCCTGCTCTACATACTTTACCGTAAACGCCAAGGGTCCTTTTTTTAGTATTATGGTCAACTTTTTTTGGTAGCATAAGAGGCGTAATGGATTTGTGGTCAAAACAAGATGATTCAAATTAGATCCGCTTTTTTATAGATAATGAAGAAAAGTACCAAGATCTAGGAACGATTATTAACTCTTAACTTTCGTGGGATGCTAATACAGATTATAATTTACAATAATGGCCACCAAAGACTTTATTTTTTTTACGCTTAGGATATTGTTATAATTACACTGTTATGTCCTTGTTTTGTATAAGCTTCATAACTTAATCATTCAATATTTCATGGAATGACTCTGACCTTGGCGAGGATCTTTTTTGCAACAAGTGATTCCTTATGTAAAGTGTATGTTGAATGACCCTGGCTTTGTTGTCAAATAATTGTTTGACAGTTGTTAAATATGGGGTTATGTTTTATCTCTGAATGTTTGGGATGAAATATTTTAATAAGGACAGTTCTAAGTTGGAAACTCAACTGTGGCCTTTTCAATTGAATTCAATGTACAGCATGTACAGTTTGGACATTTCTCTAATGTGAATGCTACTTATGTTTGCAGAATGTCTGGATGAATGAATGAGTCAGTCATCTGCACAGCATCAATGGAAAAAGGGAAGCAATGAGGAACAAGAGAAGAGTAGCAGTGAGTGGTAAATATTTGAAATTATTCTGTTTGGTTCATCATGTTCATGTAGCTATTCTGCAAATATTTCTTCAGTTTGCTTGTTCTTTATCACCTGTTTGCATGGATGGCCTAATTATCAAAGGCACTACAACTTGCTGTGCATAGTTGCATCTCTTGGGCTTGACAGAAACCGATGGTTGTGGGTTTGAATCGAGGGTAGCATCATACACTTGCTTGTGGGTTTCATCAAAGTGGTAAACATGTAAGACCTGCATCACTTCGGGCTTTCTTCCCACATCAAGCTTACATGCCGTGATATAACTGGAATACTGTTCAAAGAGGCGTTAAACCCAATTCACTCATTTAACACCACATCCAGCGATAGTTCGGCTAAATGACAAGGATTATAAATTAATCAAATCTCAAATCTCAACTAGACAAACCAGAGATTAATGTTATGAGCTCGATCCAGACGCACCGATGATGACTGTTATGGACAACATCCCATGTTCTTGGGTACGATTACGAGCTTTCAATGAGCCCACTTGCTACCTCATCTATTACTTTGGCTTGTATGGCAAGCATAGGTTGCTAGGAACATTTTTAAGAGATGTCAGTTAATGATTGTTTCAACTCATCAGCATGGAACAATATATATCTCAAATGTTTGGTATATAACAAAACTCAAAGATGATAAATTAAGTGAATTTGCTGCCTTTTATCTGTAAGTACATGTTGCAACAATTCTTTTCTTTTGCTACAATCTTTATACATAATTTTGCAGAAACTGAAGTCCAGCTTGAGATACCCGGATGACAGGTTGACAGTCTGGAAGGACCCTTCCAGATATCCGAAGTGATTGGCAGACAGCGATGAGGAGAGTCCTGTTATTTCAATGGGAGCCTACCGAGAAGTTATATGCCAATTGACACTGGGACACACTCACAAAGGGTGGTCAGGCAAATGTGAGAAGACCAACCAATGCCAAGTCGGAGTGGGATCCTTCAAGGACGTTGAAGAAATTATTGTCTTTGGCCATGTGGTAATCACTTGAAAGGAATGATGTTTGCGACTACTTGTCTATAAATGTGGACCCAAACACCAAATAGAATGTTCACAATTCTACTAACACAATGCAACAGGGATAGAGCCCATCTGGCCTCCCCTCATCCTGGTTCCTGTTTTTCCATGGCAATATAGAAGGAAAAGGATGTTTGAGGGCAAGTAACTCTGAACTGGTGAGCATGGTCTGCTGATGCTTTCAAGCGAACAGTTATCCCGCTCTGTTATGAGTATTGAAGAATAGGAGGAAAGTGCATACTGCATCAGGAACCATTATATGAACACTGTTCAATGTGTGATATATGCATATAAATAAAAGAAATTGATAATTTGTTTGTTGTTTGTTTCTTTAGCCAGCTGTGTAAATGGGGATTTTCCAATATTTTGCCTCAGTTTGATAGCCACAGTTATCGTATAAAACCATGCATTGCTTGGACATCTTTGGAATAACACATTGATCTGCTATGTCAAAGGTCAATGTCACAGCCAGACAAAAAAATTGTTAATGGCCAAACTCTTCCTTAGGGCAGGGATAGAAGTTGGCAACAGGTCATACACTTACTTTTTATCCCCCGGCATATAATACGGGGGATATAGTGATCAGCCTGTCTGTCCGTCTGTCCGTCCGTAATCATTTCCTTTTCCGGGGCAGGATTCCCAAACCATTCAGTGTATTTGATCGAAACTTGGCAACTCTTATCAGGCACATACTGAAGTGGTGCCTTTTGATATTTTGGGATTTTTCTAATTTTTATTTTTTTAAATTTTTATGGAATGAAGTTGGACATAGACTCAATTGGGGATGGGGTTCGTTTCCGGGGCAGAATTCGAAAACCATTCAGTGTATTTGATCGAAACTTGGCAACTCTTATCAGGCACATACTGAAGTGGTGCCTTTTGATATTTTGGGATTTTTCTAATTTTTATTTTTTAAAATTTTTATGGAATGAAGTTGGACATAGACTCAATTGGGGATGGGGTTCGTTTCCGGGGCAGAATTCGAAAACCATTCAGTGTATTTGATCGAAACTTGGCAAAGCTATCATGCACATACTGAAGTGGTGCCTTTCAAATTTTTGGGATTTTTCTAATTTTTATTTTTTATTTTTTTTTAATGGAATCAAGTTGGACATAGACTCAATTGGGGATGAGGTTCATTTCTGGGGCAGAATTCGAAAAACATTCAATGTATTTGATCGAAACTTGGCATTCATATGGATGCGACCATGGTGGATCTTTTGTGGGTAAACAATGTATGCTTCTTAAAGAACATTCAACTGTTGACTCATTACATACAGAAATGGACTAGTGGTTACTTTACAGACAGCTGCCGGGGGGATATGTCATCTTTCTGATGACTCTTGTTCTCTAATGTGCCTTTTCCCGCAGAAGTCTAAATAACTCTTATACACATAGTTGTATATCATTGTCATATGTTTGTCAATATTACACTGAATGAAGCACTTTACAATTGTTTTTGAAATAGTCGCAACTGATATTGAAGGTCAAATTAGCTTTCAATGTCTTTCAGTAAAAATGTTCACAGTAACTGAGGAACAGCTCTCTGTAGTGTGATGAAATCTGGTACATGTCACCCTCAGAGTGAGGCATATTGTGTTTCAAACTTAAATGAAGCTGGTATGCTCATAACAAGTACTTGTACCTTTACAAATAATCATATTATCATCTCACTAGGACCAAAGGCCCAAGTGAGCACACAGTCGATGAGTTTATACTTTCACTCAGAATAATCTGGAAGTCTGAACATGAAATTTAAGGATATCATCATACATGTATTAGAACTGATGTTTGTTCATGAAACAGCTTAACATCTAAAAAGAATTATAGATGAAATTGAAAAAAATTGTCTTCTCCAAAAGTACATGCCCATAGATCTCAACTTTAAGGGGATATTTACAACTAAAATGACACAGAATATTACTACAGCTATCTAATATGCCCAGGCTAACATTATTTACCAGAAATAAGACATCTCGAAAAATTGCATCCGGATACCTTCAGCAATGTTCAATTTTCATGGTTAGTTTCCAATATATATTTAGGTGTTTCACACTTAATTGAACAAAATGCACCCCCAAATTGTGACATGTTTTTGGAAACTCAGAATGAGGTATCCGGTGCCGGATTCTTGGTATCCGGTGCGGATCCTTGGACACCCAGATGGAGGTATCCGGTGAGGTATCCGGTGCCGGATACCCGGATTCCAGGTGGCATACTTTCAGGTGAGGTGTCCATGCCGGATACCACGGATCTGGTATCCGGCAAGGTATCTGCCACCGGATACCCGGACGCGTTTTGGGTAAGTGTCCGGTGGTATCCGGCAGGTATCCGGATACCGGAAACTGCATTTTTTTTGCTGTGCCAGTTAGTAATGTCACAGACTTATCGTCGAGTGCAAGTTATATACATGAAAAAAGATATTACACCTACGGTGGACCCAGTTAAATATCAAAGGCCGTTGAAAACCTTTTTATATATTTGTTTTTATTATTCTATGACTTAACGACCAAATATGATAAAATCTTCAATTGTCTAACTGCAAAGATGCTTTAATCGTTTGTATTCAGCTCAACAAACAAGGAAGAATGGTGTTCTCTGTTCCGCCAAGAGATCATTGTCCAGCGTTCGTGCCATCTGGAGCGTATCCCAGTCGAGCAATGACCCGGAAATTGAAGAAAGAAACTTTATCCTTAAAACACAAGTACAACACGGATAACGCGAAAGATATTTCTTACAACTGTAGCTTTGTCCCAAACATACCAGCAAAAATAGACATATCTTATCTTGTCCACTGTATGGAGAAAAAGGGGGATAAATTGGATGCATGTCACGTTGAAAATACTTGCAGTACAGTTGTACATTCAACCGCAAAGCCTAGTTTTTCTATTACAAAAAATGCATATCTTTATAGAGGCAATGATGTTTTAGTGAAATATATGAGATCCTTATCACAGGACAGAGAGGAAGTAAAACCAACAGAGTCCACTGAAATTGAACGTATCTTGAAAGGAATAGTAAAGAATTCTTCCGATCATAGTTCAAGAAACAACTTTATGAACAACATTATTGTTTCACCTTTTTTATCACTTCAAACATACTTTGAGGGCATTGTTAGAGGGGAAGCTCTGCAAGACGATGATATGAGATATGAAGCCTTGCGCCTGAAATCATTTCAAGGAATCAGCGTTTCTGTCTCCTGCCTCCGCCTTGCATCATCAGGGTTCTTCGCTACTGGGTTAGGTGATGAGGCAAGATGCTTTAGCTGCGATATGAGGTATAAACATTGGCTAGCAACTGACGACCCGAGACACATACACAGACGGATCTCCCCTGCCTGTAGACACATCAATGGGAGTGACAGCAGAAGCGTACCCATATCTATTACTGCTGGCTCAGACAGGGTATCGATATCCGCATCAGTGGCCACAGCAACTCCTGGCGGGGACCAGACCTTGAACAATCATCAAGACCTGAACACAGAGAACATAGGTACTTCGTCAACAGAACATGCATCTCAAGAAGAGAATGGAGTCTACGACCAGGTCAGGGCTGCAGGCATCCAGCAAGTAAACTGCAGTTCCAGGGAAGCAGATATAATTCCATCAAGTCAACACATCTTTTGTCCGGAACAGTGTGCCCCTTCACAGCTGACAGAGGTGGAAGTAGCTTCAGGAAATGCAGGACCTGCATCTTCAACTCTTACATTTGCCACCGCTGTCTACCCCCACTATGATGATAGGGTAAAACGACTAAGCACCTTCAAGACCTGGCCGTCCAATCACTGCAAGAAACCGGAAGTGCTTGTTCAAGTAGGCTTCTTCTTCGCAGGTATGTATACATGTGTGTAGTTTGCAAATGATTGTTTGCGTGTCTGTTCACATCATGGTCGACAGTGGGGTAGACTGATGGTAAAAGCGATGGCTCTCACGTAATCGATTCCTAACGTGGCTGTAATGTATGAATCCAAGTTCTGGTTTTCCACCGCCATATTATGACTGGTATAGAACAAAATGTCACGTAAAACCCCACAAACTCACTCCTTCACGTTATGCTATAAGGAGGGGGCATGGGTTGCTCAGTCGTCTAAGGCGCCGCGATTCGCTGTGCAGAGTTGCGTCCCTTGGGTACGGCAGAAACCTACGGTTGTGGGTTCGAATCCCGGTTCGACCCGATTATGTTTCTAGGTTTGTCAGCACCATACCCCTGCTCGTGGGTTTCACCAAAGTGGTAAACGTCTGAGACCTGCATCACTTCGGACTTTCCTCCCTCATTATGCTGACACGTGGTGATATAACTGCAATAATGTAAAAAGCGGTGTTAAACCCAACTCACTCATTCACACTCAGCCATGGGGAGATAATTTGGCAGAGAAGTTGCTATACAACTGAACAGTAATTATAGATTTAGTTTTGTCTTTATATTGAAGCAAACCATCTATTTTGCAGGTTACTCTGACTGTGTGCGCTGTTTTGTCTGCGGTGTTGGTCTGAAGACCTGGGAGGAGGGGGATGACCCCTGGGTGGAGCACGTGCGCTGGAGGTCATCTTGTGCTTACATACTAGCATTCAGGGGAGAACAGTTTGTCCTCCAGACTCTGGGATCACTGGGACAGAAGACAAATGTAAAATCCCTTATGTATCTATCATTCAGTGTCATGATCACGTTCTAATTTGTAAGCAGTAATTATTTCATAAATAGTGGTAGTATTCATCACAGAGCTTACGTTATACTAACGTTGTAGTGTACAGGTCTGTTCCTAATTCCAGACAACAGATATCATTTCAATGGATGTCTGTCAGCGTGCACTGGGCATGGGATACAGCGAGGACACAGTTACCAGGGCATTTCACCAGGTCAAAGCTACTCATGAAGGTAGAATGCATTTTATGTCACCCACTGTCTAAATATGTGTCTAACAACACAAGGTGAAAGCTGGTTGTCATACATTTGTGTCACACTTTTATGGGTGTCACGTCACTTGCAATTTGTAGCTGATTAATATGTACAAATCTAACACATAATGTAATGGTTTCAGGGGGCAGATTTCCTGATCTTGCCGCACTGCTGGAGGTTTTGTTGAAGCAGCAAAGTGAGTCAGAAGGACTCACGGTCGACGCCGATGCCAGTGCAAGAGGAACAAGGTATGCCGAAGCCAATTCTGGAGGATCAAGAACTGCCAACTCAAGTTCAGAAGAATCAAAATCTTCTGCGAGTTGGAACAGACAGACTGATAGAATCAGGTGTTATGGCGAAACTGGAGTAGCAGGTGATAACAGAATTCTTTTAATTTCAAAGTATGGTCGATGCAATGTAATATATATTACTGCGTGAGTTCTAAACCCCCTGATTTGATACTTTGCACTCGTGGTATAATTAATGATAAAATGATAATTTATATTTGCATGTGAATCAAAACGGGAAAGACATTAGTTAGTATTACTGATACTGGTATTGCTGTCAAAAGTGCATTGAAGGGACGCTATAATAGAGGCCTACGCTGAGACGTAACACAATGTGCCTGTATGTCCTTGGGCTGTCTGGTTATAAATACGCGTACTCATCTTACAACAATTGTTATTTTTAGAGAAACGAGCCAGAGTCAAAGAGGAGACACAGCAACTGAAAGAGTCGAGCATGTGTAAGATCTGTCTGGAGGACCCTGCTAATATCGTCTTCCTCCCCTGTGGACATCTGGTGGCATGTGCCGTGTGTACACCAGCTCTAGAACGTTGCCCAGTCTGCAGGATCCACATTCGGGGATCTGTTCGCGTCCATTTGTCGGACATGGCATCACTAGCATAATAATATTGCCGTCTTAAGGCTGCACATTGATGTTCTTTAGTTATCAGGAGGATAGATATTCCAACTGATCTTTAACTGGATAATTGATAAATTATTGGATTACTCTAAATGGAATGAAAAAGAGCTTAGTTTAGGTTTTAATTTTTCATTATCTTGTGGTCCTTTTGTAAGATGGACCAGATGTGTGTTAACATAGCATTCGGATATCCCTGTATATAATGTAGTATGTTGGTGATACCCAGAGTACACTCAGGTAGAACCGTTTATACCAATGAAGTTCTTTGTTAAAGCGAGTGGCGCTGTTATGTTGTGTTTTAGGTATCCCAAACAAAGCTTAATATGAACCCCTCTTTGTCATAGACCCGTAAGTTGGTTTTCGGATTGCTGTGGGTTTGAAATAGGGTAATGGGCTTCTCCAATTGTAAGGTAATGTGGATACGTCTTTTGACAGTTATGAATATGTTTACGCACAATATTTAAATTATGGACAAAAGACAATTTTATCTTCTTTACTACTTCAGCTATTTCCCGCTGTGTGTTGCGAGTGAGGAACTGAGTATGGTTTCACACCTCTTTTAGCAATTTCCAGCAACATCACGACCGGGGAGACCAGAAATGGGCTTCACATATTGTATTATGTGGGCAATCGACCCCTGGCCTGCAGCACGACGAGCGAACACTTTAAACATAAGGCTACCTTATCGCCCCTGTGTGCTGATGACCGCCTCCGTGGTCTAGTGGTAGAGCGCCCGGAGAGCGGAAGGTTCGGGGTTCGATCCCCGGCCGCGTCTTAACAAAAGACGTTAAAAGATGATACTTGTTGTTACCCTGCCTGGCGCTCGGCATTAAGAGGCTAAAACAAGGACTGGTCGGCTTGGAGTCAGTATACTGTGTCTGAGTGGGGATTTCATGTTAAACTGTGGCATGGTATCTCAGTGGGCTAGCGCTATAAATCGGCATCAGTCCGGACGAGTACAAACAGCTACACACACACACTATGCAAATCGCTATAAGTGCAGTAATGTTGGACGCGACGTTATACCCCATTTCACCTCACCTCACCTGTGTGCTGAGATACTAAGATGCACTATGATCAGCACTGTTCAATAGTTACTGGTTTGTTCAGGCGGTTCCTAACTGACTCATATTGGCATTATCCTATTACTAGACATATTAGACATTGGACTAATAAAAACTTAAACGGAACTTTGAAAGTTTGTGATTTGTATGTTTTTGTATCTCTATATATTGTGTAAGCAAGTATCAACACAACCTATATCAATCTCACTTGTTGGTAAAGTATGTGATTTGTAATTCGTCGTAGTTCATGATGTTGTCTCTGACATCAAGTTAGTGAGTGTGGGTGTGTTAATTTTGCCTTTTGCCTTCAGCACAGTGGAATCTGTGTCGTCGGATAATCGAGACCGGTTATTCTCTGGCGTTGATATATATAACACCGGTTAGCAATATTCCATTGTATGATGATGACTTGTAAATAGTCATGTCTGGACAAGTCAATCAGTCGGGGCTCGAAGACATGCAATCAGTCAAGTCTCACATCCCCATTATACATTTTCCGTTAGTGGGCTCTTACGATAGGTGAGGGATACCTGGCACCTATTCCTCCCAAGACTCCCCTAAGCGGCAGCAATGTTCCGTCAGGTCCCGTTAATCCGACCTGGATGGTTGCATATGATTATGTCGGATTAACGAGTATGTCGGATAAACGAAATTAAAGTGTCGAACCCGGATTGCGAGACTATCGCATAAACGGGTCTAAATAGCACTGATTAAACCGGTTCCCTTCATGGGTGTCGGATAAAGCCGATTTCCAGATTAACGAGAGTCGGATTAACGAGACTTGACTGTATGTGTTTTAAGATTGATCATTGACAGAATAGAACTTATTAGTATTTTAATATATTAATAAGTTGTCTCTTTTGAAGGATGTGCCGTTTAGTTGATGCATATCATATTGAAAGACATATGAAGCACATCCTGCTTCTCAGATGAGAACATACAACATCAAAATGGAAGCAGCTGAAGGGAGGCTTCATCAAACATCATCGTTAGACACGATGCCATTTAGAGTAACAATAGTGGATTTGCATATCTACTCATATCATCTTACACTGAACTGACCCACCTCAAAATAGCTAGATCCTTCAGTCGAGGTGCATCAAAACGGATGTATATTCACCAGCCAGGTGTCGTTACATGCACTCATCAGCCGTTTCTTTTCCACTGTTAAAGATTGGATGAATTGTTTTAAGTTTTTAAGGATGTCACGGTTCTGACATTTCCCAAAGGTTTTGTGTTACTGTCAATATATATCTAAGTCGGCTATACTGAAATATTGTTTATGACGTACCTGATCATAACATCCGATCACGGTACAGCATACGACAATCCTAATGACTGTCAACAGTTTCAGTGTAGAATACGGCAATCCCACTGACTGCCCATTGTCTCAATGTAGCATACGGCAATCGTACTGACTGTTCATAGCTTCAGTGTAGAATACGGTAATCCTATTGACTGTCCACAGCGTCAGTGTAGAATACGGCAAACCCATTGACTGTCCATAGCTTCAGTGTAGAATGCGGCAATCGTACTGGCTGTCTATAGCTTCAGTGTAGAATACGACAATCGTTCTGACTGTCTATAGCTTCAGTGTAGAATACGACAATCGTACTGACTGTCCACAGCTTCCGGGTAGAATACGGCAATCCCCATTGACTGTCAACAGCTTCATAGTAGAATACGGCAATCGTACTGACTGTCCACAGTCTCAGGATAGAATACGACAATCGTACTGACAGTCTGTAGCTTCAGTGTAAATTACAGCAATCGTGCTTACTGTCTATAGCATCAGTGTAAAATACGACAACCGTAGTGACTGTCTATAGCTTCAGTGTAAAATACGACATTCGTACTGACTGTCTATAGCTTCAGTGTAAAATACGACATTCGTACTGACTGTCTATAGCTTCAGTGTAAAATACGACAATCCCACTGACTACATACCTTCAGTGTAGAATACAGCAATCGTGCTGACTGTCTATAGTTTCAGTGTAAAATACGACAATCGTACTGACTGTCTATAGCTTCAGGGTAAAATACGGCAATCCCACTGACTAAATACCTTTAGGTAGAATACCGCAATCATACTAACTGGCCTCAGCTTCAGTGTAGAAAGGGTCATTCGTACTCACTGTCTATAGCATCAGTGTAAAATACGACAATCGTACTGACTACATACCTTTAGTGTAGAATACAGCAATCGTACTAACTGTCCACAGCTTCAGTGTAAAAAACAACAATCGCACGGACTGTCTATAGCTTCAGAGTAGAAAACGGCAATCGTACTGACCCTCTATAGCTTCAGGCTGAATACGACAATAGTACTGACTGTCCACAGCTTCAGGGTAGAATACAGCAATCCCACTGACTGCATACCTTCAGCGTAGAATACAGCAATCGCACTGACTGTCCACAGCTTCAGGGTAGAATACGGCAATCGTACTGACTGTCTATAGCTCTAGGGTAGAATACGGCAATCCCACTGACTGCATACATTCAACGTAGAATACAGCAATCACACTGACTGTCCACAGCTTCAGGGTAGAATACGGCAATCGTACTGACTGTTCGTAGCTTCAGTGTAGAATACGGCAATCGTACTGACTGTCTATAGCTCTAGGGTAGAATACGGCAATCCCACTGACTGCATACATTCAACGTAGAATACAGCAATCACACTGACTGTCCACAGCTTCAGGGTAGAATACAGCAATCGTACTGACTGTCCAAAGCTTCAGTGTAGAATACGGCAATCGTACTGACTGTCCATAGCTTCAGTGTAGAATACGGCAATCCCACTGACTGTCCACAGCTTCAGTGTAGAATACAGCAATCGTACTGACTGTACAAAGCTTCAGTGTAGAATACGGCAATCCCACTGACTGTCTATAGCTCTAGGGTAGAATACGGCAATCCCACTGACTGCATACATTCAACGTAGAATACAGCAATCACACTGACTGTCCACAGCTTCAGGGTAGAATACAGCAATCGTACTGACTGTCCAAAGCTTCAGGGTAGAATACGGAAATCCCACTGACTACATACCTTCAGTGTAGAATGCGGCAATCGTACTGACTGTCTATAGTTTCAGTGTAGAATACGACAATCGTACTGACTGTCTACAGCTACAGTGTAAGATACGACAATCGTACTGACTGTCTATAGCTTCAGTGTAGAATACGACATTCATACTGACAGCCCTTAGCTTCGGCGTAGTATACGGCATTCCTACTGACTGTCCCTAGCTTTAGTGTAGAATACTCAAATCCTTAAAATATCAGTTTCTTCAGATGTTAGTCAGACGTTTGAAAAATCAAAATTATATTATTCCATTATTCCAAGTTTCAGACAGCAATTGTCACTTCAATCGAAAAACCCCGCGGGTAGCAATCACGTCAAGTGTTAGCGAAATATTAAAGGAAACGAGAGGCAGAGGGAAAAATTAGTGGTGAACACTATGTACCGCTAACGTCACATTGGGTTCAATATCGCTATGATAAAGCTGGCAACAACACAAACACAATGTCACAGGAATAAAAACATGACAAAGATGGTTGTTCTTATCGCACAGGTAGAGAATTATGAGTCCACTTTAAGATAACGCATGGTGAAATCAGAAACGCCAGATCCATGTATAGACACCCCCGCAAACGACACATGTCGTCCTTTTAGTGAGCAAAGGCTTCGATACACCAGCTAGCTTGTCTGAAAAGTTCCCGATGATCACGTGCTAGCTTCAGTCTCGTATATCGCCATACCTGGCTATATAATGGAATTCCGCGCATAGGCATTTAACTGCATCGCCATTCATATCGACGAGGCTGAAGAGTGAAGGCGTGCACTCTATTGACAGGACATGCCCTGTTACATGTGAGTTCATGCTTCTGTATATTTTATTCATGTTTATTGATAATTATATTATCGTAGGGCAAGGAACGTCGCGGACCTATTTCAAAGGCAAGGCTAGATTGGGGTTGTGTGTGTGTGTGTGGAGGGGGGGTGGGGGGTGGGGGGGTGGGGGGGGGGTTCTAACCCTAGCATGCCCTAGTTGCCTTGGAACTGCTGTTTAATAGTCATCAGTAACTGCTGTGTAGTGTCAGGCAACAAGCAGATTGCCTTCATGCAGATTGTGCAGAAGGGGGTGCTACCTGTGGGGCAGGATACGCTTGCCTTTTTCGTAAACACCTGGTGTCATCACTGATTTTCAGTAATCTATTCATATTACTTTCAACGCTATGTTGCCTTTGGGAACCTGTTTCGTCGGACAGTCGAGGCTGGTTATTTTCTGACGTTGACGTTTATATATTTTAATATTTCAGATATTGGAATCTGAGATTGGAATTTTGGAGAGGATTGATTCAAACAGGTAGATTGGAGAGTATTGATCCTAACACCTAGATACGGACACGCCTCACTGTGCTCTGTGCATATAGGTTGTAATGAACTTATAAAGTTAACATAAGCAAGAACTATGTCCTCGATTGGTTTGCGTGGTGACTTTGAAGCTTTGGTGAGAAGACAAGGAGTACCAATCCAGCGCGCAATGCGTTTAGAGGCAATGCGTTTGAGGTCCTTCAGCAGATCAAAAGTTCAAATGTCAGCCATAGTTCTTGCTGGAGAAGGCTTCTATGCTACAGGAGATGGGGACGAGACAAGATGCTTCAGCTGCGGCATCAGGCACAGCAACTGGAGACGAGGGGATAGACCTGTTCATATTCATCTTCGAGGTTGTAGACAGAAACACAGAATAGATTTCAGCAATGTCCGATTTTCACGCAACCCATTGCCTTCTTTGACAGACATACTGCAACAATGTCAGTGTACCCTCGATGTCGCGAGTGATTACCACATACACCCTCCGCCCTAGATAAGCCCCGTGGTCACAATATAACGCTGAAGAAACACGTCGTATATTCCAAGTATCCAGGCAATGAAAATCTGTACACATCTTATGTCTTTATTAAACTAGATTTGAAGAAGTTTTGTAATCTGGATTATGGATGGATCATAATCAGATATATCAAAGACATGGGAAGATACATGAGATGTCTCAAAAGTATTTAACTCGCGTAGGTTGAACACTGCCAGGTGGATGTCAATCTCCAACA